AAACAGTAAAATATGGCCAGGGAAAATACTTTCAGATACTGAAAATATGGGGGTATTGGAAATGATCAGGTAACAAGATATCATTAAACTCCTCTTAGACAGTGAATTATTTATGAATATTAATCAAATAATACCTGTGGGATTTCCAATAGAAAGAAGCAGCTTCACATGTGGCAAGGAAACTTGCTTCCAAACATTAATACACTGAAATCAATGTAATTACATTTAGCATAGGTATCTGAGGTTCCAAAGTTTATTAGTGGTTACCAGGGGCAGGTGGGAGGGTGAAAGGAAGCCACAGCACCTCTGCTAAGGGTGATAGAAAAATCTGGGAATGGTTGATGGTGACGGTTGAACAACATGATGAATTTATTTAATGTCACTGAACTGTACACATGAATATTGTTGCAATGGCAAACGTTTTGTTACCTATGTGTTTACCACAACAAAAAAGAAAGATCCATCTGGTTGTGTGGAGAAAGGACTGTTGGGGAACATCTCTAACAATGAAATAAGAGATCAGCTAGGAGATTATAATATCAGATAATTTTGTTTGGTGAATTTATACAGGTTTAGTTACTCACCCCAGAGGTGCCAGGAAGAGGGTTTAAAATGGAGCAAAGGTGTGGGTGGGAGTCCCCATCCTATTTCCTTCCCTACTGGCCCTTTACAGCTGGAATGAGATAGCTTAGGCAGGTAGGTTTCCTAGGAGAGGGATGACAAGGCCCCAGAGAGCCCCCAGCCCCCTCTTGAGCAGGGATGGACAGAGACGACAACTTGAGTCCCTCTGACCCGTCAGGCTCCCTGGCTTGGCCTGTGTTGCCTAGGCTGGGGGCTGAATGAAGTGCATACTGCCACCAGCCAACCAGGTCTCCTCTCTCTGCCCCTTTCTAATACACATCTTCACAAAGTTCCTGTCATGCTTCTGCTCCAGAAGTATCTAGGGCTCCCTACTGCCTTCAGAATTAAGTTCAAACCCCTTGCTCTGTCATTCAAGAGCCTCTATTCACTGAGTTCCTTGAGGACTCACAAGGACTCACCTCTGCATTGCCAGTATCACATAGGGCATGGCCACAGTACATGCTCAATAAATGCTCACAGAATTACCTTTCAATGTCATTTATTGAGCACCCAGTGATGTGCTGTCCTTGGGTGGTACAACAGTTAATGCACTCAGCTGCTAACCGAAAGGTTAGAGGTTTGACTCCACCCAGAAGTGCCTCAGAAGAAAGGTCTGGTGATCTAATTCTGGAAAATCAGCCATTGAAAACTCTATAGAGCACAATTCTACTCTGACACACAAGGGATCACCATGAGTTGGAGTCGACTCGATGGCAACTGGTTAACTAGTTATAATGATGTGCTAGGTAGGCCATGGGCTGAGTACTTCATACCCATTTTCTTATTTAATCCTCACAATAATCCTCTGAGGGAAGTATATTTAGAAGCCACATTTACAAATGAGTCAACAGGTTCAGACAGGTTTTACGTGCTATGTTTATTTATTTGTCCATTTATTTGTCTGGTCTAGGAAACCCTGGTGGCATAGTGGTGAAGAGCTACAGCTGCTAACCAAAAGGTCGGCAGTTCAAATCCACCACGTGCTCCTTGGAAACTCTATGGGGCAGTTCTACTCTGTCTTATAGGGTCGCTATGAGTCGGAATCAACTCAATGGCAACAGGTTTGGTTTAGGGGTTTATTCTGTTCTAGGTGATAAGGATACAGCAGTGAAAAAGTATATAAGGTTTCTGCTGCCAAGGAGCTCACACCCTAAAGGGGCTGACATGATACGGAGACAAGCATGTTAGGCAGTGTCGAGTTGTGATAGGTGCTATGGAGAAAAAGAAAACCAGGTAAGGTATAAGAGGTCAGGGGGGTGCGGTTTTCTAAAGGGGACCAGGGAAGGATTGTCCTAAAGAAAACATTTGAATGAAGTGAGTGAGCCCCACAGATAACCAGGGAGGATCATTCTAGAGAGAAGGATGGTAAGTGCAGGACCAGCTGGAGTGATGTGTATGGAGTGTTTGAAGAGACCAGTGTGGCCAGAGCCCAGTGCGGGAGAGGGAAGAGTGCGAGTCGAGAGGTAGTTGGGTGAGGACTTTAAATTTCATTCTTGGTGAAATGGGAATCACCAGAGTGACAGGATATGATGACGTTTTAAACGGCTCTCTCTGGCTGCTGAGTGAAGGGTGGACTGTGGAGGGTAAGGAGGAAGTATCGGGCCAGCCCGTGGGTGGGAGAGAATGGTGGCTTGGTCTGGGGCAGAAGCAGATCTGTTAACCTCCCAGGGTGAGTGAGTGAGTGAGTGGGTGGGTGGGAGCATGGGCGGGTGAATAGTGAGAGCATGGGTGGGTGAATGAATGAGTGAACGAGCAAACTAACACCTGATCTGAGCACAGAGGAGGAGCTTCGGGAGGCACAGGTGGTTATGGGGAAGTGCTGGGAGGAGGATGTCCCTCAGGTGAGGTTCCAGGAGGTCCCTGGACAGAATGGGCCTGTGAGAGACCTACAGAAAAATCTGCCTTCTGGGCCAGCCAGCATGGCATGAGAGGCCACTGCCAATGGGTTGCTTAGGGAGGAGCATGAAGGAAGCAAATGCCTATGCAGCCAGGGCTGCAGGGGACCTAGGATCAAGCTCCCCCTCACCGGCCTGAAAGCCCCTTAACGTTCTCCAACACTCTCTACATATTTAATGCTTTATTGTTCTTTCTCTTGGGAAAAAGATGGAAATAAAAACAAATAACTGAAAAGCGACTGTTAACTATTATTCTCAAGTAGGTCACATCAAGTTCTGTGTGTATCTTTCTCAGAAAGATAAATTTCACATCCTTGCAACAAATGGACATGCAATTCTTGAAAAGTCCCAATGAGAAATCTGTTCAAAATCCATGGCGGCTGTCACTGTAAAAGCCAGAGAGAGCCCAGCAGTCCCAGCCCTGGGTATATGCCCAGAAGAAGCTGTACGCCAATGTTCACTGCAACACTCTTCACAAGGGGCAAAAGGTGGAAAAACCGAAATACCCATCAACAGATGAATGGCTAAACAGAATGTGGTAAATACAACGGAATATCACTCAGCTAGTAAGAGAAACCAAGTTCTGATGCACACCACTACGTGCATGAACCTAGAAAACCTTAGGCTGAGTGACATAAGTTCGTCACAAAAGGACAAATACGTACATGAAATAAGCAAATATATAGAAACCAAGGACTATTAGTGGCTACCGGGGGTGCAACGGAGGCGAAAAGGGCGAGTTTTGCTAAGGGGCATTGAGTTTATGTTAATGGTGATAGAATAATTTGGAAAAAGATAGCAACAAAGGTTGCACCATATGAAGAATGTAATCAATGTCACTGAATAGTACATATGGAAATTGCTGAAATGATGAATGTTGTGTATATTTTCACCACAATAAATTTTTTAAGTTATATATATACACACACATATGTATGTATATATATATGTATATGTATGTGTGTATATATATATATATATATATATATATATATATATATATATATGAATTAATAGAGGGAAAAACAAAAAAAAAACCACAGAGGGCCTTCCTCCAAGAACCTGCCTCAGACAAGGTAATGGCCTGGAACTCACAGTGGCCAGTCTTGTCTACCCCAGGGCTCCTACCACCTTTCGAAGCAGATGCCTCATTCCCAGAAAAAAACCTGCTGTCCTCCCCCCAAACAAGGAAGTGTGAATGAGTTCAGATCCACGTGGACATCTGAAACAGAAGAAATATCAGGGATAGTCTTATAGGTGGAGGGCTGAGGCCAGGGTCGCTTTGGATGGATTACAAAGGGACAGAAGAGTAACCCTTTTGGATTGGTCTCTACGTCTTTGGGCATTCTGAATGTTCTGAACATTCAGCCTGGAAAAGGGACACAGCCTTGCTTTTGGCAGGCATCTCGTTCACTCAGAAAACATGGGATATTGATGACTCATTAGATGTGCACGCGCTGGAATTGGCTGAGATACTGAAGCAGAGTGGCCAGATGTATTTGGAGAGAAGCTCAAGTGAAGGTATAATTACAATTACAATGAAACTCCAGAATAGGCAAATCCATACAGAGGGAAATTAGATTAGTGCTTGCCTAGGGCTGGGAGCACGGGAGGATGGGGAGTGACTGCTAATGGGTACAGGGTTTCTTTTTGGAGTGATGAACATGTTCCAAAATCAGATAGTGGTGATGGCTGCACAGGTCTGTGGATGTACTAAAAAAACACTGAATTGTACACTTTAAAAAGGTGAATTTTATGGCATGTGGATTATATCTCAATTTTTTTAAAAAAGAAGAAGAAATGGCAGAAAAACAATCTTTAGGGCCCCCTGCAGCAGCTGGGAGCACTCTAAGATCTGAACTCCTTTGCTAGGCAGCTCACACAAACCAGGGGTATAGCTGGGGAGCCTAGCAGTGTGACGGAAACATCAGGGCCCCGGGCACTGGACGTGACAGCACTCTATGGCCAACCCTGTTCTAAGTTACTGCCGGAACAAGCAAAGTCAACCACCACTTGGTTTGCAGACTCTTACTGCCCTGCCAACCTGCAAGGAGGGTAAGGGCGCAGGGTTGCCTCAAAATCTCCCAGCCACCCACCCCTTCACTCTTTATCTTGGGTATGAATTTCCAAAGCTGTGTCAGATAACTGCCCCTACTCTGGCCCAGGCCTCCGTTGGGTGTTGGGTTCACACAGAGGCCACCTATTAGCTGCAGGGCTGAAGGAGGACAACCTTGATCTTCTACCTCAACCTAACAGCTCACCCTTCCTCATGACACCAGGCATGGCGGCCCGCAAAGAGGAGAGAAAAGAGTCAGGGAAGGTGAGTGCCTGTGGGAGATGCCACACTGCAGCTGGGGCTCAAGAGAGTGGTCAGGACAGAAGCTGAGGGCAGGGCGTCAGCAGTGCAGGGGGTGGGGGGCCATCTTGCCCCAGGCCTAGCCTAGGCTGCTTTGTGATTCGAATTGCCAGATTCCACTGGAGAATTTTTTAAAAACCTAAATATTTATTTGTTCATATTTACAAAGGTAGGAAGGAGACCAAGGGAGACCCCAAGAACACCCCCACACCTGGCTGACCAGGCCCCATGCGTTGCAGAGGAGGCAGACACAGCTGGAAGGGACAGGATTTATGTTGCATACTTGAACTACAGCAAGTGTAAGACTGGTCCTATTTACAGGGCAGAAACACTACAGGCAGAGTGCGGGGGCGGCTGAGTGGGCACCAGAGTCCCGGCCAGTGGGTGCCACTGCTCGCCACCTCCCCGCCTCTCCTAGAGGCATCTCTGCGGCCCCCCTGGGGAGCTAGGGGGAACAGGGCCTGCTCACATGATGCTCGCCGGGGTGAAGACGGGGCGCACGCACAAGGTGTCTGTGATCTCCCAGCCACAGGACAGAGGCTTGCACATGCCCTCAGCGTCCTCGTCCTGTTCTGCAGGCAGCAGCTGCCCGTGCAGCGCTTCCCTAGAGGCAAGAGAAAAGCCGTGGAGGCAGCCATCATGGGGCCCGCAGGCCTGGGGCTCCTGAGGGCCCCTGTGCAGGGAGAACCCGCCCCATTGCTCCAACAGGCATAGGGCTCTCACCTCAGGCCTGGGGGGCAGAGTGAAGAAGGCCTGCTACCCCTCTACCCCCACTGCTCTCATCTCCCCTCTACTCCACCCGCCAAGGGAAAAGCACCCACATTTATTGAGCACTTATTACATTGCAGACATTGTGCCAGATAATGTAACAGAGAAACTTATATTATTTAATTTTATCTTCCCAAAAATCCTCTGAGGGAGGCATTACTGTCCCCATTTTACTGATGAGCTAATTGAGACTCAGAGAGAAATGACCTGCCCAAGGTCACATGCCTAGTAGGTAGCAGAACCAGGATTGAACCCAACTCTCCCACTTCCAAAGCCCATGCACTTCATGCTTTAGGAACATGGAAAAAAAATCACCTCCTGCCCCCTGACCCAAAACTCTACAAACTGTTTCTCCTCCTTCATACCCTTGTCAATAACAGCTCCACAATTGGATCGGTTGCTCCAGCCACAAGCTGGGAATTGCGTTCCCACATCTGTTCCCACACCTGTCAGTGTCCAAGGCCTGCCACACCCACCTCCTGAACACCTTCACAGGGACCCGCTTCTCTCCATTTCCAGGGCCACCACCGGCTCTAGCCGGGTCTCCTGATCCTGATCAGCACTGCCTCAGGTTCATCTTTCCAGAGGGCAAGTCTCTGCTCTTGAACTGCCAACAGCTCCCCTCTGTGCTCAGGCTCTGTGAGATCAGCTCCTGCCCGCTTCTCCTGCCTCAGCGAGGTCCACGCTTGCCCACACCCTACCCCCACCCCGCCCCGCCCTGGTGCCACCCATAAAGGCCAGGTTCTCACATGTCCCTCCTGGCCTGTGCAACTGCTTGTCCTTCTGCCTGCACCATCACCCTGGCCTCGCTGACTCCTCCTAACCTTCAGGTCTCGGCTTCAACAATGCAATCTCAGGGAGGCCTTCTCCGAGTCCCACCACACATTGTACTTCTCCTTGATGATACAAGGGTTCAATATCTGCTTCCTGATATTCCTTCAACTTCAGCAGGACAGGGCATATATCTGCGGTAGTCACTGTGGGGGCTCCAGCCCCAGGCTGGCTCACAGTAAGCACTTAGTGGGATGGGATGGGTGGTGGGTGGGGTGGGAAAAGCACTGGATTCAGTGCCAAGAGGCCTAGCTGGGCATGCAGCTTGGCCCTCCCTCTGCTGGGAACTGCTTCCCCATAAGACCCTCCTCCTCCACACAGATCCTCCCTTCCCTCCTCGTGTACTTCTGGGCCCATGCCAGCCCGTCCACCTACAGGTAGGTCTCCCTCTTTGCTGATCTGTACAATTCCACTGCAGATCAGTAGTCAGTGTCTTCATACAGAACCCCGTCAAGCTGCTTCCTTCTGGGTGGGAGGCTCTTGAGGCCAAGCACCCTGTGTCTGAGCCTCAGTCTTCTTATCTTTAAGAATGAGTTGGTCCTATTTCTTAAAACCTGTCACTGCCTCCCTGTTGTTTTTGTCTTGTGCTGCCATCAAGTCGATTCTGACTCATGGTGACTCCATGTATTGCAGAGTAGAACCGTGCCCCATAGGGTATTCTTGGCTGTAAGATTGCCAGGTCTTTCTTCTGTGGTGCGCTAGGTGAGTTCAAATTGCCAACCCTTTGGTTCCTAGCCAATTGTAAACCTTTTGTACCAACCACCTAGGGACGATGGCTCCCCACTGCCTTCAACATCAAGTCCAATCAGGGCCTTCAAGGTCCTGCTTGATCCAGTCTTCCCCACATGCCACTCCAGCCAGACTGAATGGCAGGACCACCCCTCCCACGGCCTGCCTGCCTCCTGTGCCCCCTAACTCCTCCCCCCTCAGGGCTCACTTTAGGTAGCGCCTCCTGAGAAGCTGCCCCGACCACCCCTCCCAGTTCACTGTCCCTCCCTCCGCAATGGCCTCATCAGTCTGTACACCAATGACTGTGTGCAGGTCTGTGGCCCCTGCTCACCATGTCGTCTCAGATGCTCTTATACCCCAGGGCCCAGCACAGAACCAGGCTCTACAGAGGAACGTTTTGCTGAGACCCATTTGATATGCAGAATTTTTGACACGGCTATTTTAATATATCAAAAGATCTTGTTCCTAGTGATGAGTGTGACTAGCTCCCTGCAGCCTCATCCAGTGGATTTGCTGATGAGTTGCCAGGGTTGGGATGAGGAAAAATCACCTTCATGGTGACTTTTTTTAGGCCTTGTCAAAATACCCTGGTGCCAAAATGGCTGCATCAGTCTATGTGGTGCCCCTGCACAGAGTAGAAACAACAACGATTTGCTGAATGAATAAGTGAGTGACTTTGATCGCTGATGCCCCATCAGGCCTGGTGTACCCTGGTGATGTTCTTGGGGGCCCTCAAGAACCTAGCATTAAAGTCCTTCCCAACTGCTCCTGGTGTTGGGGAAGGACTCTGCCCTCAAAGGGGGGCCCTTCACCACTGACCAGCTGTGCACCCTCTCTGTCTGTGATACTACTGACCCTACAGAGCTATGTGTGGATGAGAGAAAATAATCACCAATGCCTAATGTAAGGCCTGATGTAAGGGCTCCACAAATCTGACTTTCTCTCCATCTTGCACACCTCTTGCCTCATTGGTTCCCAGCACCAGCCTGGTGAGGCAGGCAGTGCAAGTGTGGTCATGCTCATTTTCTAGACAGGAAGGCTGAAGTCCAGCGAGCAGACAAGGCTGTCCCAGATCACAGAGCAGCCACCCAGCAGGTCAGATCTGTCTGCATCTGCCCTGTGCTCCCTTAGACCACACAGTAGCTAGAGTGGTCTCTCTAGAGTGATCAGACCATGTCACTCTCCTGCTTCAAGCTAGTCCACAACTTCCTGTTCTTCTCAAAGTCCTTCAGTTGGCCTTCAAGCTCCTCCCCAGATCTAGCCCTGCCTCTCTCTCCAGTCACGACCAACCTCAGTTCCTTGAAGGCACCATGATTACTCCCCATTCCTTCTGCTTGGACCCCCTTCCTGCCACTCCTGCCTCCTGCTGGCTAACTCCCACTCAGCTCTGGCTTTTGTTTAAACACTCTTTCCTCGGGGAGACAGGTCTGGGCCTCAGGGAGGGTGCTAACCTTCCACAGCCCCCCACCCACCTGCCCAGCACAGTATTATCATGAGTGTCTGTCTACTTCTCTGTGTCTCTCACGGGGCTGTGAGCAACCCAGAGGAGGCTCCCTCTCATTCATGACCTCAGCCAGGTGCCAAGCACAGGCCTTGCCTGGAATCATCAGCCAAAAGCCACTTGTCAAGTTGAAGAAACGAACGCAGGTCTCACATCTCAGGTTTCCCTCATGGCTTCTGCCCAGCCTGCCCCCTCCATGGACACCCCCTGCGCCCCCCTCCCCCAAAATTCCCAGCAGGGCCCTCTTACCAGGCCACACGGGACATGGCATAGGTGATGTGGCAGGCCTGGGTTCCCCTGAGGAGGGTACCCACACCCACGGTGTAGGCGCCCATGTTTTCAAAGACCAGCCAATCGCCTACGTGTAGTTGCGGCAGCCACAGGCCCTCGGCCACACAGTCATAGCCATCGACTGCCGGGCCCCACAGGCTGCTGCTGTACAGGGGCTGCTCCGTGGATGGTTTCTGCAGGAGAAAGGGATGGCCACATTCAACTTTCCTGGGCAAACCACAGCCTTAGCACTCCCCCCCCGTACCACCCCCAACCCCCACAGCCCCCCCCACAAAGGCCTCCCATGGCTCCCATAGCCAACAGAATAAAGACTGAGCTGGGCCTCCTAGCCTGGCATTGAACGCCCTCCCCACCTCTCTGTATTCATTGCCTCCTTCATTCTGAAGCCACACTGCCTGGTCCAGGCTCTACCACTTACTATCTGTATGATCTTGGGCAAAATACTTAACATCCCTCTGTCTCAGTTTGCTCATTTGTAAAATGGGAATAATAATAGTATCTACCTCATACTGAAAGGATAGAAGAGTTAGTACATGGAGAGGCTTAGAACAGAGTCTGGCACAAGACAAGGGCCCAATAAGTTCACACCACTATTATTATCATTGTTGTTGCTATTACCATCTCTGTGCTTTGGTCTTCACTGGCATATCTGCTGCTTTCCAGACCACTGGTGTGTCCATGCCTCCACAGCCCTTCCCCTGCCCTGAAATCCAGCCCGTCTTTTGGGCCCAAGCCTGGGGCTCCCTCATCTTAAAGGTCTCCTAGACCCCCCTCATTCCATGCCAGGCCCAATAACAAGAGCCAGAAGGACACAGGCAAGTTAGACCCACCCCCACCCTTGGTGATCTCAGTCGGGTAAGGGAGATCTGCCTTCTGACAATCACAGGGTGACATGGTAGAGGTCACAGAGGACCCTATGGAGTAGACATGATTACTCCCACTTCAGGGAAACTGAGGCCCTGAGAGGTTAAGTGACTTGCCTAAAGACATATCTTCCAATTATATAAAAATTATTAATTTTTTTCTCAAATGACTTCCAAATCTGGAAAAGAAATCTGTAACACAGACCATTTTTAGACAACCAAGGTATCAGTGGAATTTGTCACGGTGTAGAATCCTGGCCAGGGCAGGTCCCAGAGGAAGAGTCTCGACTCTGAAAGTTGACAGGAAGGAATCTTCCTGCGCCCTTCAGGGACCCTGGCTCCACCTTCCACAGCACTCACTGTGTTCCAGTTACTCCAGTTGCTCTGGGCTCCCCAGTAAACCCTGCTCCCCTTTCCCACCCCCAGCCCTCCCACGCACTGTTCCCTCTGTCCTCAAACTTACCAGTCCTATTTGTCCTTTAAATTCCAGCTAAAATGGCCTTGGGGAAGCGTTTTCTAGCATCCCTAAGCTTCCCTGCTTTGCCTTCATAGTATTTACCATAACTTGTAATTAAATATTTGTGAAATGCATCTCTCAGTCTCTCTTCCTTGTAAAACTATAAATTCCATGAGCCCAGGGATCATGTTGGTCTTGTTTACCCCCAACTCCTCTGTGCCTAGCATCCGGCACACAGTAGGTGCTTTTTTAGAATAATTTTTTTTAATAAAAGAATGAACGAGTGGCAAACAGATGAACAACGAGAAAGAGAGAGCACAAGAAAGAAAGGAAAAAGTAGGTACAGAAGCCATCCAAAGAGACTAGGGGAGCCCTGGTGGCGCAGTGGTTAAGAGCTCGGCTGATAACCAAAAGGTTGGCGGTTTGAATCCATCAGCCGCTCCTTGGAAACCCTGTGGGGCAGTTCTACTCTGTCCTATAGGGTCGCTATGAGTCGGAATCCACTCAGTGGCAATAGTTTTTTTTTTTTTTTTTTGTTAAAGAGACTAGGAGAAAGCAGTCGAAAAGATCAATAGAGAAAAAATATTAGCCAGGAGCAGGAATCCATAAAATTGAGAAAGAAAAGGTACAGGGTTCATAAGCATGAATAATAGTCATATATTTGAAGAAAAAAATAATTTGTCTCACTAATAAAAAAGAAAAATATGCACATTATTAAAATCAAGAATGAGAACTATTCTATATTCATTCATTCATTCAAATCAAACCTGTTGCCTTTGAGTTGATCTGGCTCATAGCCACCCTACAGGACAGAGTAGAACTGCCCCATACGGTTTCCAAGGAGCAGCTGGTGGATTCGAACTGCCAACCTTTTGGTTAGCAGCCAAGCTCTTAACCACTGCACCACCAGGGCTCCTCCATTTATTCAGTAAATGCTTACTGAGCACCTACTATGTGCCAGGCTCTGATCTAGGAAGTAGGGATGCAGCAGTGAACACAAAGAAACAAAGTCCCTGCTCATGTTCTAGGAAAACGAGACAAACAAACAGGTCCTTTTTCAAGTAACTTAACATGCTTGTTTACAACTTTCTGTTAATGAGTAAAATTAATCTCAGTTGCTCTCAGTGATTTCCCCTAGCTTCAATCATTAAAAACATTAAGCTAACTTTTAAAGATTTGAGGGGGAGGGAGAAAATGCTACATAAATGTATCCACGAGGATCCTTGAGAAAACAGGTTTTAAAGGTTCTTCCACAATAGAGAGGTTATAATAAGTTAGCATTTTCTCACTTCTTAGTAGTGGTATAAATTTTTTAAATTGATGGGAAAATATATATATATATTTTAAAACTCCACAAAAAATAATGCAGCACTGCCCTTTTGCTGTTTAAAGCCATTATTTCAAAAAGGAATCTGCAAAATAAATATTCCAAATGCATGTAGCAACGGGCTTGTATGTCTCAGCTCTTGTTTACAAGTCTGATAACTGAGTACACATGGACAAGCACCTGTAAAAATCTAAGATGCTCAGTCTGCCACTAAGCCCCCTCTGCAAGAGATGGCAGGGGGGGTCCTAGTTTACAAATCACGCCCACCACTTCTTCACACCCCATCTGGGAGCTGGTGGGACAAGCTGAGAACTCCAGAAAGGGGAAGTGAAACTGTCCCAGGTTCCAGAGGGAGTTAGTGGTAGAACTCTGAGTGGTCCCGGACAAGGGGCTTTCCTAGCCATACCTGCTGTCCTCCTCAAAGAAGCCCAATATGTGAACGGATCCACAGAAGAAACAAGGTCAAACATTTAAAAAGGCACGTGGCCCTGATGGAGTCCATCAATAATACCCTAACTTTTAAAGAATAAATCAGTAATTCCTATGCTACATAAAGTGTACAATACTCTAAAAACGAAAAAGAAAAAAGGATGAGACAAGGGTAGCACACAGAAAGAAAAAAAAAGAACAAAAACCTACGGTTAAATCTCACTTGTGAAAACATAAGCACAAATCCTAAATGAAATCCCAGCTAATCAAGTCCACTCTCATATTTAAGAATCATCATCAGTTACCAGATAATTTATTGCTAAAATGGAAGGCAGAGACCATATAAGCAAAGTCAATCACTGGCTTCATTATAAAGTAGAAAATACAGATCTAAATTCAAATTTAACTTTCCAATACCTGTCAAAATGGCATTCAGTAGTAGCCTGTAGCATCTCTTTTTTTTTTTAATTGTACTTTAGATGAAGGTTTACAGAACAAACTAGCTTCTCATTAAACAGTTAGTGTACATATTGTTTTATGAATGTAGCATCTATTCTTGATTTAAACTACAGACAAAACAAAAGCCCACAGTGAAGACAGATTGTTTTAAATAAGGAACCAACATTAAGCTTAATGGAGAAGTACAAGAATGACTTCATTTCAGAACCAGAGGAAACCTTAGTAATTAAAGTTTAGCCCTTTCATTTTTCAGATGAAGAACTAGACAAACAAGGCTCAGAGAGGTTAACTAACTTGCCTAAGGTTACTCAGCTAGTATATGGCAGAGCCAGGACTTGAACTCCTGTCTTCTGACTCCAAGTCTGATGCTTTCTGTCATCATTCCTATTTTATATATATCATGAGAAATGCTGGCAATAGCTATTAGGAAAAAAGGAACAAAAAGGCATAATATATAGAAAATGAAGAAATAAAACATTACATTGCAAATAACATGTTTCCCTGCCTGGAAAATCCAAAGAAGGGTGCTTATTAGAGGAAAGCAATGAGTTTCAGCATGCGAGCCAGTGTCATACTCAAAAACACAGGGTAAAGTTTCCACCCACAATAGTAATGAAAACATTAAAATGTTAAAATTCTTGGATGTACTTGGGGTGCAGTAATACTTATTCAAAATAAATAAATAAATAAATAAAATCTTAATGGGAGGAATAAAATACACGAGCTCTACCCTCTCCTAGCTAGAAAAACTTAGTAAAGCAAAAAAGAATATTTATAAACATTAAAAATATTAAAAAATAATATTTCTAGCATGTGTAAGGTATAAATTGAGTCTGCCTGTACACACGTGAACATTAATAATGCCAACTTATTTTCCAAAGTAGATATACCAATTTATGTGTCATTTATATTTTTAGTGTCTAAGAAATCCTACAGCTCCATATCCTCAGCAATACTTGATATGGTCAGACTTACACATTTTTTTCAGACTTTTAAATTTTTTATTATCCAGTAGATATAAAATGGCATCTTGTTTTCATTTTAATTTCTATTTTCTTGATTACCAATGAGGCTGAGCACCTTTTCATTTTCTGTTTGGCCTTCCTCTTCCATGAACTGTCTGTTGAAGTCTTTTGCCCATATTTCCACTGGGTTGCCTTTTTCCTTATTTTCTTAAGATTATTTGTCTTTACTTCTTATTTAAGAATTCTTCACGTATTTTGTCTACTAATCCTTTACCAGAAACCTTGGCGGCAGAGTGGTTAAGAGTTCAGCTGCTAACCAAAAGGTCAGCAGTTCGAATCTACCAGGTGCTCCTTGGAAACCCTATGGGGCAGTCCTACTCTGATCTATAGGGTCACTATGAGTCCTTTACCAATTATATGTGTTTCAGTATTTTCTCCCAGTTTATGACTGCCCCTTTATTTTCATTAATGCTATTTTTTGATGAATAGAAGTTCATCCTAATGTAGACAAAATTTATCAGTTTCTCCCCCAGCTTTTGGGTTTGTACTTTTTACATTTTAAAATATTCTTCCCTGTTTCAAGGTCAGATAAATTCTCCTATACTGGTTTCTAGAATTTATATTGATGTGCTGTGTGAGACAGGGATCAATTTCATTTTCTGCATTTTGGGCA